ATCAGGTGACCTCCCGTCTGGCTTGAATGAGACAGATATTGTGTTGATCCCTAAAAAGAGTAATCCAGAGTTAGTAACTGATTTGCGCCCTATAGCACTTAGCAATGTCATTTACAGAATAATAGCTAAAATGATGGCTAATAGAATGAAGCCTTTGATGGAAGGAATAATATCTGAGACACAGAGTGCTTTTATCCCAGATAGATTGATAACAGATAATATTCTATTAGCTGCAGAAGTGGGGCACTTTCTGAATCGAAAACAGTGTGGATTGAGGGGCTGGGGTGCACTTAAGCTGGATATGGCTAAGGCGTATGATCGAATGGAGTGGCCTTTTCTCCGTAATATGATGATGGCATTGGGTTTCCATGATAGATGGGTTGATTTGATTATGAAATGTGTGACCACAGTCTCCTATAGTATTCTGATAAATGGCTCAAGGAGTGACCCAATAATACCCACGCGTGGTTTGAGACAGGGAGACCCGCTATCCCCATATTTGTTTATTATCTGTGCAGAGGGACTCTCGTTGTTACTACAACAGGCTAACAGAGCGGGATTAATTCATGGATGTAGGGTAGCAAGAGGTGCCCCTCAGATTTCTCATTTGTTTTTTGCGGACGATAGCCTTTTATTCTTTAAGGCTAATGTGGAAGAGGCTAATGAGATAAAGAAATTCCTGACTGTATATGAGGATCTATCGGGACAGGTGGTTAACTACCACAAGTCGAGTATTTGTTATAGCAGGAATACGAGTAATGTGGATAGGGAAAGTGTGGCCCAAGTTTTGGGGGTGGAGCAGGCACCAAACTTTGGCAAGTATTTGGGTCTACCTTCATTTGTGGGTAGGAATAAAAAGGCAGCTTTTGCATATATTGAGGATAAAATACGCCAAAGAATTGGGTCGTGGAATAAAAGGCTATTGTCTCAGGCAGGGAAAGAAATACTGTTGAAAAGTGTGGCACAATCTATGCCTACCTTCTCAATGAGTGTTTTTTTGCTACCTATATCAGTATGCACGGCTATAGAAAGAACGATGAATAGATATTGGTGGGGTTCTGGGACGGACAACCGAGTTCACTGGAAGGCTTGGGACAAGCTATGTGTTCCTAAGAAGTATGGTGGATTGGGTTTTAAGGACCTACGTGCATTTAATCTAGCTATGCTGGGGAAACAGGCATGGCGAATGCTCACTAAGCCTGATTCCTTAGTAGCTCGTGTTTACAAAAGCCGATATTTTCCCAGGGATACTTTCTTTGATGCGCAGGTAGGAAATAATCCCAGTTTTTGTTGGCGGAGTATAATGGCATCAAAGAGCATAATTTGTAGTGGGGTCAGACGAAGAATTGGGAATGGGGAAACTACATCTATATGGACCCATCCATGGTTACTGGATGACCAGGACCCTATGATACAAACAGAGATGCCTATACAGTTACGAGAGGCCAGAGTAGTGGGGCTAATAGATCAACAAACTGGTACATGGGATAATGAAATTTTATCAGATTTATTTCAACCTACGGATGTCGAGAGAATTATGAGAGTACCTGTATCCCGGGATTATAATGATGCATGGTATTGGTACGGGGACCCGAGAGGATTATATTCTGTGAAAAGCGGGTACAGACGATTGGTGGGAGATTATGAGAATAATCAAGGCCCCTTTACTAATTGGTTAGCTTTATGGAGACTAAAAATTCCACCAAAGTGGAAAATGTTCCTCTGGAGAGCTATTTGTGATATTTTGCCTACAACTACGAACTTGCTTTTAAAGAGGGTGGAGGTGAACCCATATTGTGCTATGTGTGGGATATCACATGAGAATACAATGCATGCATTAGTCTTGTGTGATTTTGCAAGAAACATTTGGGATCAATCCAACCTTACAATCCCCAATATTGTCACGGATATTTTTCATGTTTGGTTTGGGGAACTTCTAAATATTTTAGATTCTGATGGAATGTTATATGCAGCATCAATTCTATACAATATTTGGAAAGCTCGAAATGGTGCAGTTTGGGAGGCATTTTTACCACGCCCGGGGTCCCTACTCAGAGCCGCAGCGGCAGCCAAGACCGCATGGACTCAGTCCCGCCCAGCCGTGGTTGCCACTGCCACTGCTACGCTGCCGACAGAAAACCGCCACGCTGCCCAGGCGAGTCCCACCGCCGGCCGCGGTGCTGCCGACGCCGCCGGATCCTCTGTGCCGCCAGTGAGAAGATGCAGGGTCGATGCGGGATATCTACACGAGACAGGGAATGCAACTGTAGGGGCCGTTTTATTAGATGGAGATGGAGCCTATATCTCGGCACTAACCGCGCCGCTACCGGCCTGTACGTCACCACTTATGGCTGAGGCTTTGGCGTGTAAGGAAGTTTTATCATGGCTAAAGGATCGAGGTGAACAGAATATTGAGATCTACACGGATTGTTTGACACTACAACGCTACCTTACATCATCAACCACTGCGTTTCGCTCTTACGTTGGCTATGCCATTGATAGCTGCAGGCAAATTTCCGTTTATTTTCACTCATGTTCTTTTAATTATATTTCTAGATCGGACAATTATTTAGCTCATGCTTTAGCCACTATGGCTTATCAGCAACCTGATACTATGTACTGGGATACTCACCCACCAGACATTATTTCAGCATTTTTCTAATGAAGCACCGCAGAAAATTTTCAAAAAAAAAAAAAACACTAATCTAAATATTATAAGAAATAATTAAATTGTAAATAATGTGCGTCAAATTTCATTACTTGAACCAGAGGTATAAAATGGGATAGATAGAGTATGTATTAAATGGGATTAGTGCATTTTTTAGAGGATAGATTGATATTGGTTGGAGCTAGAGAGATCAGATCAGAGGTCATTTATCAAAAAAAAAAAAAAAAAAAAAAAAAAAAAAAGAGATCAGAGGTCATCACTCATCAGGAGATATCTGGACAAGTTATAGTTGGACGATTCCTTTTGTTGCAGAGCTATTACTCTCTTTTTCTTGTAAAGTTAAGTTCTGAGTCTTAAACTTTTGTAAGAATGCATGGGATTAGGCCTGTGCGTCGGACGGTTCGGTTCGGTTCGAATACTCGGAGGGCTAAACCGCACGGATTTTGGATTATTATTTTTAAACCCAATCTCATTGTATCAATTTGTAAAATCTTTTCGGTTTTATAGGATTTCGGTTGAGGACGGGTCGGTCGGATATCCGAATGCATCTCGGATATTTAAAATATAAAAACAAAATTAAATAATTGACTAAAACGTGTAAAAATTAAGTAAAACTGAAAAAATTTACAAAAACATGTAGTGCACTGTGCACAAACTACATGTAAAGCTACTAAACTAGACAACTAGTACTTAGACAGTTAGACTCCAAAAAGTCAAATGGGCAAGGGCAATTATGAATTTGCTTATACAAAATGTAAAACTGTAAAAGTAGCCAATTTCTAAAAAACACTGCAGCAACCACCATTGCACCAAATTACCAAAATTACAGTAATTCAAAAAATATCCAAGTTCCTAGCTCAGATTGCTCAGTAGTTCCTACTTTAGCTCTAGCCTACTGTTCTTCTTCTTCCTGTCAATACTCAAAACTTAAAGATGAATTAGCAAAAACAAAATAAGTTATAAAACTATAAAAGGTAGAAAATAAGATATTCAACATTGGCTCAGTAAGCTTTTTGTCCATATCAAAGTTAGGATTAAAGGCAAATTGCTACAACATCCCCATGAGGATAGAGCAACATACCAGCTTAATCCCTTATTTCAGATCATTAGTGGAAGCTTTCATCATCGCCATAACAAATAGTTAAATTATTTAAAGTCTTAAATACATAATACAATGATACATTACCAGCAGTACAACACTCTTGAGTCCAACAACAAACTTACCAACTAACAGTTATACCACTGTGGCACTGTCCAGTGCACCAAGGTCCAAGGGCAGCAACCAACAAGTTAGTAAGTTACCAAGCCTCATTAGGACAACTGGACAACTAGGCAGCAACTAATTACTAATTAGTTACCAAGCCTCATGAGTCACGAGTAGTACAGTATACAGTTTACATTAATGCAAGAATATAAAGTAGTATAAAGTATAAAGCATAACATTACAGGAATCGTAGGAAGTGTAGAACCACCAATCCTCCCAGCTCCACTCCCACCATCAGCACCCAATTCTGCAAATACAAGGACAAGTTTAAAATAAAAGTAAATAGAAAATGCAGGAAAGTTAAGTGTTAGTATGTTACCTTGTTCAAATCTCTCCAATTCCTCCAGATTTTCCTCAATTGATATGGGGGTATTAGGCAGTCTAAGCCAATCCTGAGTACAAACCAGAGCTTCCAAAATTTTAGGAGTTAAAGAACTCCTAAAAGGATCTAAAACCCTCCCTGATGTACTGAAGGCAGATTCTGAGGCAACAATGGATATTGGTATAGCTAAGACATCCCTAGCTACTTTTGAAAGGATAGGAAATCTTTCAGCATTCAGCTTCCACCATCTAAGTATGTCAAAAGAAGATTCTTCTTCAACTAATGCCTCAGCAAGGTAAATTTCCAACTCAGTTTTTTTCTTTCCCCCACTCTCCATTCTTTGTTTCTTAATCTGGGACTTTAACAAACCCTTGGGCTTCCCAACATTAGACTGTGAAGAATCAGTAGAAGAGATGACAGAAACAGTAGGGACAACAGTAGAAGGAATCACAGGAGCAATAGGGACAACAGAGGTAGCATAATCATCAAACAACTCTGTAAAAGTTGCAACCACTTTCTCATAGTAGGTTTTACCTTTTAACTCACCATACATGTGTAAGATCTGTGCTGGCATGTACTCTAATTTGTCCCTGGGGTCAAGAATGTTTGCAAAGAATATCATCAAGTTCATCTTATCTATATCCCCCCAATACTTTTCAAATTTAACCTTCATAGTTTCCCCCATCAATTTCACAGAACCACCAGCTTCCACCATTCCATTCAATAGGCAATATAAATCAGAAATTTCAGAAAAAAAAAGTGTTAGATGTGACATATAAAGAACCTGAAATTCTTATTGTCATATCATAAAAACACTTCAACAGATTCACCAAACTCTTCACAGACTCCCAATCAAGAAAGTTAGGAATAGAATCACCCAAATCTGATTTGAAGGAAGAATCACTTTCTTCAAGTGAATAAAACACTTTCTCATAAAATACTGCAGATTGTAACATAAGATATGTAGAGTTCCATCTGGTTGGAACATCTAGACACAGAGAAGATTTCTTTTCAATCCCAAGCCATTCAGACAAGTCCTTAAATTTCTTAAGTCTAGCAGGTGAACTTCTCACATACCTTACAGCATCCCTAACCTTCTTCACAGAATCATCACACTGTTTTAGCCCATCTTGCACAACTAAATTCAAAATATGGGCAATGCATCTCATGTGAATGTACTTGCCCTTCACAGTAGATGTTCCCCAAGACATCAATTTCTTTTTTAAAAAACCTAGGGCAGAGTCATTTGATGATGCATTGTCCACTGTAATAGTGTAGACATTTCTAATACCCCAATCCAGCAAACAGTTTTCAAGGGATTTTGCAACAGACTCACCTTTGTGTGATGTGACATGGACAAATGAAATAATTTTTTTATTTAGCCTCCACTCTTCATCTATAAAGTGAGCAGTAACTACCATGTAGTTAATTCTCTGAATAGAAGTCCAAGTGTCAGTAGTAATACTGACTCTTTGAGTGTTTCCCCTAAACATCCACTTCAACTTGAGCCTTTCCTCTTCATAAATCAAATTGATGTCCCTACTAATTGTCCATCTTGATGGAATCTTAAACCTAGGACAACATACCAGAATGAACTTCCTAAATCCAGGACCTTCAACAAATCTAAAAGGGAGTTCATCTATTATAATCATTTCAACTAAGGCCTTCCTAATAGCTTCTTGATTAAAGACCCAAGTTCCTAACTCACCAACAGTAGCAGGAGATGCATCAGAATTGGTAACAGCTTGAAAGGTCAGAAGTGATTGCCTTGTGTCTTTTGAGTGAGGGTTTTTAAGACAGTTAAACATGTGGGTTCTCAATGATGAAGTACCATGTTTTTTGGTCTCACATTTATATATTTTGGCACAATATATACACTTGCCCTCAACAGTAACATTATTCTCATCAACAATCTTTTTCAAAATGATCCCACACAGGAGATCTGGATTCAACTACCTTCCTTTTCTTCGGAAGAACCGCAGCAGTAGGTTGCACATTCTGTTGATCATTATTTATCTCAACAGTCTGAGCTTCCACCACTGTAGATCCATGAAGTGAAGAGTTGGAAGGTTGACTACCAGACTCTATGATATTTTCCATCTAAAGAAATGGAATACTATCAGTACAGTGGGAACCATTTCAAAGAATGTCAAAATTAGAGAAATCCAGAATCAGAAGACAGGCAGTTCCTAACTTCATCATTTTTCTAAATTTCATAATTGGGACTTTAAGGAATTAACTATTAAGGGTCATACATCCATAAACTTATAACTTATAAGTTATAAACATAGTAACATACAGGCATACATGGATACAATCACAGTATCACATTAATCACACAAAGTGACAAAGAAATCCAGAAATCAGGATGGTGAAAGCCTGAAGTTTACATTTATCATTTTACTGGATTTCACAATTCGTAGTTACAATTGGGGCTTCCACCATTTTCACCAACACAGGCAACATCCAACAGCCAACAGGGGTTAGGGACTTAGGGGCTTCCACAAACAATACAGACAAAATATAATCAACAATTGTAAGGGACTTAGGGGCTTCCACAAACAATACAGACAAAATATAATCAACAATTGTAAGGGACTTAGGGGCTTCCACAAACAATCACAACTAAGTGATTCTAAAATGTCACAGTCCATATAATCATAGAAACCCTATTCAAAGGATCAAAAATTCACAAATAAGGGACAAGTGACATGCAATCCGGAACTTCTCAACAGATTCACATTGTCACAGTCATCAGAATCATAGAAGCCCTAATCAAAGGATCAAAAATTCACAAATAAGGGACAAGTGACATGCAATCCGGAACTTCTCAACAGATTCACTTTGTCACAGTCATCAGAATCATAGAATCACAAATAACAACAACGTATCACAATATATAAGAGTATAATCTAAGTATGTCTAAGATTAGGGTTTAGAGATTACTTCGTTTCTCCAAATCAAACCCCCGAGAACAAAGGGCTTCAAATCCGTGAGACCGTGACAGCAATCTACAATCCACCGCACCGGCCACAGGTCGTCCAGACTCTAGAATAGGGCTTCTACCGAACAATATTAGCTAGCTTCCACCGGAGACTCAAACTCAGAGAGAACGAGAGAACTCAGAGACTCAGAGTCTCACAGAGTCAGAGATCTGGAGAAGAAAGAAGTAAGAACTAACTAGGGTTTCAAATTTCAGAGAAGAAAGACGAGACTCACGAGAGAAGTTCAGAGAACGAATCTAGAGAGTTCTCATAAGTCAGAAGAAAGACGAGGAAGCTGCGGAAATGAGTAGGGTTTCCTCCAAAGGCAACATATATACACCGCTTACACGACGTCGTATACCTTAGGGTATACGCAGTCTTACCCTAATTCGGGTTGTCGGACGGGTTCGGGGGAATTTTATAACCCCCAACCCGCCTCGTTCTAACCGGCTACGTGGCGTGTGAACGGTTCGGGTATGCTAATTCGGGCTCGGATTCCACCCAAGTGCATATATTCGGGTTCGGGTCGGTCGGGTTTTTCGGGTGGGTCGATTTATGCACAGCCCTACATGGGATATTATTTTAGTGACTATTATAGCAAAGACTAGAAAGAGACGTGACCGGTAGCTATTATAAATGCCAATTCTTTATTATTAATTAATGGAGTAATTGTTAATTTAATTTGTATTCGAATAATTAAGTAATTGTCATTTTGTCACTAACTTTTAGGCTGTGTTTAGAAACCCGAAAAATGACTTTTGGAAGTCGTTTTTCGGGTTTTTGGTGTTTGGCTACACCTGGAAAATCCAGTCAACGGAAAACATTTTCCGTTGACTGGGAAAAATAAGCTCAATTTGGCGGAAAATGACTTCCGCCAAATTTGGGCGGAAGTCGTTTTCCGCCACTTCTCTTTCATTTTTTTTTAAAGATTCTGGCAGAACTGGGTTCCGCCAGAAACCATAGCTATGGTTTCTGACGGAACCCAGTTCCGCCGGAAACCATAGCCATGGTTTCCGGCAGAACCAGTTCCGCCGAAACCATAGCCTTGGTTTCCGGCGGAACCCAGCTCCGCCGGAAGCCATAATTTTTTTTTTTTTTTTTTTTTTTTTAAAGATTTAAAATGTATTTTTTATTCAGAATAAAATAATTAAAATATTTAATTATACCATTCTACTCATTTTTCAGAAAATGAACCAAACACACCAAAACAGTTTTCCAAATGCAACCAAACACTGGAAAAGGAAAATGTTTTCCGGAAAATGACTCATTTTCCAAAAACCAGTTTCCAGAAGTCATTTTCCTGCTTTCCAAACGGACCGATAATTGTTATTTCCTTTTCAAGATATTTTTGTACAAAATTAGGAACAAAAATAACAATTACTAAAGAATTGAATTAAGAACAAAAATAGCAACATAGATAAAAGTTTAAAAATGAAATATGAGCACCTACAAAAACTAGGGACGAAAATAATGATTTTCACTTAATTAATTAATAATAGTTTTTGAAAAAAAAAATTAAGAAACATTTTTTGGATATAAAATGTTTCAAGTTTTAAAAAGATACGGAGTATATTTTAGGAGAGTTTTTCCAAATTAATGTTATTAATATTAAATAAAATAACAAATACATTAATTAAGGAGTTAATAATGTACTTTAGTGGTAGAAGTTCAATTTACTATATACATATAACTTCAAGGAAGAACCTAACCAAACCTTTGAAATAAATTAAAAGTTCATGGTTTACACTTAAATATACATTTGGGTGAAGTGTACTTTGTAGTTCTAGTAAGATTTTCTCATTAAATTTAAAATTTTGTCATTACCAATCTAACTATATTCAATTAACTTGGTGGGTTGTTTCAACGCCAACTACCTAACTAAAGTATATTAACCAAACATTGAGTGAATTAGAGCATCCTCATCAGCTTTGATTTTTTGGTGAATTTTGTCATAACCATGTAGGAGAGAGAGGATAGAGGGGAGAGGAAGAAAAGAAAAAAAAAAAAAAAGTCTGTTCATGCGCCCCAGCTGGGCGCCTGCGTGTCCAACACGCGAAGAAAATGAGAATGCTTTGTTTCCATTTCTCAATCAGTGGACCCCACAAAAATTTTACACTTCAGGAAAAAATACACCAAAAAAAACTACATTTTCCATTTGTAAAAAATCTACACACTTCATTTTTATTATTTCAAAAAGGGAAAATTGTAAAAAATGCCCCTCTACAATATGACAATTATCAATTTCACCCTTGAATTATGAGTGGTGTAAATGTTGCCCCTCAATTATCAAAATGGTGCACATATAGCCCCTCCCGTAACGGACATGTGGTTCCCCGTTAGTGTACGATACCATTAAGTCAGAGTAAATATGTAATTTAGTTGTTTTTTTCCCTCCATCGATTCAAAGTACCAGCGATGGATAGCGGTGGGGAACCATATGTCCGTTACGGGAGGGGCTATATGTGCATCGTTTTGATAATTGAGGGGTAACATTTACATCACTCATAATTTAGGGGTGACATTGATAATTGACATATTATAGAGAGGCATTTTTTACAATTTTCCCTTTCAAAAACCACGAAAAATGTATTGGTGTAGATACTCTTATGAAGTTGTGGAGTCTAACTGTTAGAATCAATCTCAAAATTACTTTTACCATAATTATCAAGACATGGAGTTTGAATTTTTCCTAAACCCTTTATAAAAATCCCATTAGCATTCCCAAACAAGTGGAATACAAATGATCAAACAATATTTGTCATCATCATACTTTGCCTTCCAAAGTCAAACAAGTACTTTTTGTCATTTTGGAGTGATTATTTACTTTAATCATTACCAATACAAAATGTACTATTCTTTCGGCCGATGGCATATTTTTAATAGCCAGTGTGCTACCTAACAAGAAACAAATAGATCTTTGATGCTTCAAAAGAAATAATCTTATCTTCATCCGTGGCATCTAATCAAAAGTTATGCCAAAGCTTAATTTGACGGCTTCATCCATCGGTCCTCCAATTCCGAAAGAATTATACACACACCTATATATATAAATAACAGTTCAGGTGCAAAGAAAGCCTTAGATCAAGGCCGGGTCCAGAATGGAGATATTTAAAAAAAAAAACGTTGTAGCATTATGAAAATCTTGTGTAAATAAGTTAAAAATTTTTTTTATCATTCAATGCGTTTTTTTTTTCCTTCTTACAGAGCACAATATTATGTCTTCCAGAGCACAATGTTGTGCATGTGTTGTCACACTTGATGCTAATATCCTTGGCTTAATTCAACACCATAATCCTTGAATTGTTGCTTCATCTAAAGGATTTGAGCACAACAATTTCCTGCAGCTATGCACTCTACCTCAACAGTACTTGTGGCTATTGAATTTTGTTTCTTACTCAACCACTGGAACTAGAGGAGCACGAGTCATTAGCAGCCTTCTCGGCTGACTCTTCGGTCACTAGCGCTTTTCAGATCTTGTCACCTTTCGAGTTGCTCTTCGAATGGTTGTGCGATCTACCACTTGACTCTCCAGGTGCGTTCCTCAAGTCGTTGTTGTTGGTATAGTGGTACTTCTCGGTTGCTCTTGGTGTTTCCGCGCAGCCGGGTAGGGACACTCTGCTTTGTAATGTCCTGACTTTCTACAGTTGTAGTACAAGACCTGCTACTCCTCGGAGTATGGGAACGTATTCTGGAGTGTCCGGTCCTTAAGCGGTCCTTGAGTTGCTGCATGAGCATTAACCATCATAATCTGGACTAGACCTTTAGTGATGACCTTCCACATCTCATCATTGAGAGCAGACAAATGTGTCTGCATCCTAACCTTC